TAATCAACTATATATTCAGCCTGATGGTAATCAGCTTTGTACACCTTAAATTAACCAATAATCAGCTTTTGTTCTTAATGTTTACCTTGTATCCCAAGCAACACGGCTTGTCATAAAGAAGTTGAAAATACTTTGTAATGACTAACGCAAAGAATCACTAATACCTTAATATACAACATTTAATACATTTATACAACCTAAAAAGCGCAAGACGCGTAGCTTATACAACTAAATACTGGTCTTATAACATGTTTTGGAAACATCATAAAAACCAGCGACAAAAAAAAACAATAAAAAAATCTTGAGCATGGGATTCGATCACTGGTCCTTGGCGTGGTAGACTTGTTTCTACCTAACTAGACCAACACCGCTTGATAAAGGTTGGTTATAAGTATCTATCGTGTTCTTGCCAATGGCATGAAAATTATTTTCTCGTTCAACACGCCTTCGATCCGTCATGAAGACGTTTTGTTAGTAGCAAAGCGTACATCTAATTGCCAGAATGTTATTTAAACTTATTTTCAACTCCTTATAAGGCAACCTGCACATTTTCAGTTGTATTAATTTATGAGATGTCATAAAAAAGTATTTTCAACTTTCTTTATAACAAACCTCCGAATATCTCATAAGAAACTGTCAATCACTGCATGAACCTCAATGGCACCGTCAATGTTTACGTCAATCTGGATTGATTTTGTATACGACAAGTTTTATAGGGGTATTAAAACAGTAAGATGCACGTTCAAATAACATTTAAAGATAAAAGCAAAAGAAAACTATTTTGGAAAATGTTGAATCTAAGAAGTATGAAGAAAACATCTTTAAACCTCATATATAACGTAGGATGTATTCTGCATCTCTTATAATACATTTATACAACAATCCGTTCTAATTCTTTTTCAAAAGATGTTTTATGTGTTACTTGGGATTGTTACCTGGGTACTTGGGTTATTCAAACTAGGACTGAATTAAAATCATTGAAAGAACACTTGTTAAACATCAATTTGTTACTTGGGATGGTTTCAAAATTGTGCATGGTGAGGTATACGAATGCGTTCTTAAAATGTATTTATTTTAAATGTATATCATGGTAGATAAGTTGAGATATACGTAAACAACACGATTTTCGGACTGCAGAGAATATTCAACAGAGTTGCTGGCTGGCTGTTGTAAACGAAAAATTTAATTCCCTCTCCCGCGCGAACCGAAGCTCGCTTACGAAAACCAACAGCACCCAGTGTTGGAAAAATCATTTTCAAAAAAAGTTCTATCACAGCTCATTGCAGAGATAAATCCCAAAGGAACTTCTCACAAAAAGTTCGCGAACGAGAGATGATAAAAAGTTCATGAAAGCGTAGAGCGAGAGAAATTTTCATTTCGTATCGCGAAAGATCTTTCGTCTCTCCATCTCACATCATTTCACACGTACTCGTGATTCGAACCAACCAAATATCCCCTCAGCTTTGTTCTTTTTTTTTCAGCGATTAAAGGTAGGCGATGATCACGCGAGAGTGTCTGTTTGTTTTCTTCTCGTTCTCCGATATTTTTCGCATCCTTCACATTAAATACCATTTCCAGAGTACTTTGAGATTTGGGCGTAATTGCTTTTGTAAACAAACACGTCATTCAGCGATTTCTCACGAATCAAAGCACAATCTAGCGAACTATACTATACCAAACTTGATACCAAATGAATCATTCCTCTACCTGTCTGTGTTGTTAGTTTTTTTAGATTGAACTTTAATTCACGAGAAATCGGTTATTATATAATTAAGTGTGTGTTTACAAAAGAAATTACGCCCTAATCTCAAAGTTTTCCGGATTTATTTATAGTTTTAGTTCTCAATGCAACCAGCTAATAATAGATACTTGTAACCAGTGCTGTAAATTTTCATATAATTCGATTGAAGATGAACCACTACAACCATTCACAGAATTGTGTAAACGAATTCTCACATGACCATAATTTGAAGAGCCCCTTTCTCATTCGAAGCTCATTGTCACTGTCAATTGAGTCACTCAGTATCATTTGATATACGACAGTGGAGTATGGAAGAAATCCAGGAAAATGGTCCCGAACAGACAAGTCGACCCGATGTCGGATCAATGTAATGACCCAATGTCGTGTTAATGTCGGGTCAATTTTGGGTTTATGTCGGGTCAATGTCGGGTCAACATCGGGTTGGGGTTTGATAGAAGTCAGGTTGGTGTCGGGTTGGCTTAGTTTTTTCGCCGGAATGTCGACCAGAGCTCCGTTTGTGTGTAGGTTACACTCAATCGAATGATATATAGCGTTTCTCAAATGAGAATGATCCATGCCTTCGTCAAATGACTAAGCAACTGATATCACCCATTCGGAGGAGGTCCCCTTTGATAGCGAATAGCTACTTTTATAATTTTCATCAAAAATGTTCAAATGATTTTGAGAATTTACAGCACTGGTAATAGCACAGTGAAAAAGTTCACCACCACCTATATTCCCAACCATCCCCCTGCATATAATTATTGCATAAGAGCTTACAGGAACGATATTACGAACACTAGTGATGAGAGGAGCCATCCATTAACTGTATTTCGTGAAAATGAGGATACATTAGGCGCTCCTCCTTCCGCAACCCCCTATCCTGAGGAACGGTTTTAATATAAATTGCTAGTCACAAAATCTTACACTACCCTCCCCGTTCCTCGTTAATGTCGCGTTGACACTTGTGCTGATTCATTCATTTTTTTTGCCAGAAACCAATGCACCAATCAATCAGTTGCACAAAACTGTTCACATCATCCTGATAACGGCTACTTTAAACAACAGGCGCCAGTAGACAGCCAGGTACCAGACTTATCAGTCTTTAGAGATTGAATTGATTTACTCGGGATAGCTTTCTGTCTATAATCTTTCCCTTGTGAAATGTGCAGTGCAATTTTCAAGAACGAATGTGGTGTAAAGAGATAGAGAGAAAAAATGATCTGATATTTTTCGTATCCTCACGTTGGTGATTCGAGTTAAAAAAGTTCGCGATATCTCATTCTCTCATCCCATAAAGTTCGCTCAGGAAATATTGGAGTGTGAAACTAGTGAGGGAAAGTTCCCAAGAGAAAACGTATCGCAAGCGAAAATGATATTTTGGTGAGAATTCCATCACTGAGCACAACACAGGGTAGTGAAAACTCTCCCCGTCTCGATAAAGTTGTTCTAATAAAAAATACTTTAACCGAACGATGACGCTAATGATAGAACTATTCCGAAAATGGTTTGGATGATACTATGAACACGTCGTTAAGCAAAATAACAATTTTATTAGGGACCCAGGCAGGAAAAAATAAATATTGAATACCTTAGTAGTTAACCCTACTTTGTAAATAACAAAAATTGATATTTGGATACCAAAAAAATACGCGTGTGTGATTGTTTTGGTATTGCATTATCATAATTTGGTATTGAAGTGGTACTGTGGGAACATTTGTTTGGTATTATGTGTTGGTACTTTACCTCTTATGTCAGGCTCATCCTTACCAATCTAAGGTATCGATTTTTCGTTCCTGGCTTGGGTAGGCGAGCTTCAGTTCACGTGGAATTAGTGTTAAATGTCAATTTTACAAAATATGATACGCCCTTTTCAATCGTTGATCGAGTATTGCTCGGTTGGTGTTATTAGCGAAGGCTTTTGTTGAATAAATGCAAACATGGCCGATCATGCAGTGTTTGAACTTGGCTCTTGGCTGAATTGGAATGAATGACCAAGATTGGTGGTGAATGTGGCATTCTAGCAAAAATTAAAATTATATGCAAGAAAATATAATCATACCTTATTATTGTGCGGCTTCATTTCTGGATCAAACGAATACAGTGGTGCAATTTGAATTTATTGGGTATGAAGTCGCACCATTTATTCATGAATTATGGATTGATTTGGTGAGAACGTTGTAGTTGAAAAACTATTAAATATTCATATTAATTTGTTATAATGTTTTTAATTCCCATTTGCTATCCAATGGGATAGTTGCGATAGTCCGTGATCTAATATTTGGATTATACGGATGGTTACGTTATGCTTTTTATCATACTGAAACATGATTGGTTTTGAGGGAGAAAATAGATGCCCGATCGCAATCGAACATGTAGATTTGGCACTTTACCAATTAGATTTAGTTGTGTTTGTGGGAATTCACTTATACTAAGCGCTTTTTCGTAGCTCGTGGCATTAGAACCACGAATAAATGCTGCACAATGTGAAGTGTGTAATAACTGGCATATTGCTCTGGCTAATGAAATGTCCTATGAATGCAGATTGCATGTTTATCGAATGAACTTAATGGAAATATGGACGAAGTGAACTAAAAGATTTGAATAAGAAAATAGTTTTTTCATATGAACTTCAGCAGTTTCAGCACCAAGTTTGGGAGAACTGTCAAGACCTGGGGCCGCATTGGGGAAGTCGAAACGAAATGTTTTTCGTATGATCGCTTGTTTTCATCGTTTCATCTTGGTTGCATACTGTGACCCCTCATTTCGAATCGTCGAGCCAACGTTTATTCACGCAGTTTCTTCAGAGATTGACAGTTTCTTAATAGATTTTTCAGTGGAGTAGAGTGAAGAGATAAGACAAAGTCCGCCATGTATCATAAAAGTAAAGAGCTACAAAGTCGCCGCAAACGCCCATTGAAACAGCCAGGTTTTAAAATTAGCTGGTTACCATAAAGTAGGGGACCACTCATATACCTTGTGGATGTAAAAATCATGATTGCGATGATAATTCCCTTGCGCACATGTCATCTTGAATGAGGATTATTTGCCAGAAGAAAATTTGAATTTAACTATTTAATACAGATTTATAAAGTATAACAAAAATACACCCTACTGCTATAAATGTATTATTGTGTTGGTCTTAAACTTCTATTGGAAGATTTGTTTCTTTTTTTTTTGCAATCAACGGATTCAAATTTCGGATGTTGAATTCGATCGAATGGTAGTCTTCGACCGTTGATGCCAGAGTCTCATCTAGTTCTTTTTTGGTTTGCTTTTAAGTAGCGGTATATTGTCTTTCTTTATTCGCTAAAAGAACCTCAAAACATAACGATAATGATCCACATTATAAACAGAAAAATCATTTACACATAAATAAGTTGAATCACATATGGGATAACATTGTATGATGATGATGTTAATTAATATCTCGATGCTTGCTGGTGTTGCTGCTGCTGCTGTTGGTGGTGGTATGTCAGCAGTTTCAGCCTGCAGCGGCCCCGGATGGCATTGGACCGGCTGCCTTCGATGCTCTAAACTGCGTTGGTTTACGAGGAAGTAGCTTAGAAGCACTTGCGGTGGACGATGGATGGGCCGGATTCGTCGTATTCCTGCTTGGAGATCCACATGGCCTGGAAGGTAGACAGGGAAGCCAGGATGGATCCACCGATCCAGACGGAGTATTTACGTTCTGGTGGAGCAATGATCTTGATCTTGATGGTGGATGGGGCCAGGGCGGTGATTTCCTTCTGCATACGATCAGCAATACCTGAAGTTATGGGGAAATAATGTTTGTGAGTATTTCTTGTTCAACTGGGAAGAGGCGGTTTTCGTTGATGTGTACCTGGATACATGGTGGTACCACCAGACAAGACAGTGTTGGCGTACAGATCCTTACGGATGTCGACGTCGCACTTCATGATTGAGCTGTAGACGGTTTCGTGGATACCGGCAGATTCCATTCCCAAGAAGGAAGGCTGGAACAGGGCTTCTGGGCAGCGGAAACGCTCGTTACCGATGGTGATGACCTGACCGTCGGGAAGTTCATAAGACTTCTCAAGGGAGGTGGAAGCAGCAGCGGTAGCCATTTCCTGCTCGAAGTCCAGAGCGACGTAGCACAGCTTTTCCTTGATGTCGCGAACGATTTCACGCTCAGCGGTGGTGGTGAAAGAGTATCCACGCTCAGTCAGGATCTTCATCAGGTAGTCAGTCAGGTCGCGACCAGCCAAGTCCAGACGGAGGATGGCATGAGGCAGAGCATAACCTTCATAGATTGGGACGGTGTGGGAGACACCATCACCGGAATCCAGAACGATACCGGTGGTACGACCGGAGGCATACAGAGAGAGGACAGCCTGGATGGCGACATACATGGCTGGCGAGTTGAAGGTCTCAAACATGATCTGAGTCATCTTCTCGCGGTTAGCCTTGGGGTTCAGAGGGGCTTCAGTCAGCAGGACTGGGTGCTCCTCTGGGGCAACGCGCAGCTCATTGTAGAAGGTGTGATGCCAGATCTTCTCCATATCATCCCAGTTGGTGATGATACCGTGCTCAATTGGGTACTTCAGGGTGAGGATACCACGCTTGGACTGGGCCTCATCACCGACGTACGAGTCCTTGTTACCCATACCGACCATCACACCCTGGTGGCGTGGGCGACCGACAATGGATGGGAAGACGGCACGTGGTGCATCATCACCAGCGAAACCGGCCTTGCACATTCCGGATCCGTTGTCAACAACGAGCGCTCCAGCATCTTCGTCACACATTTTGGCTGGTTTGGTTTTGGTTTACGGTACTGTGGGAGAGAATGAGACACGCAGGATTGCGATTAGCCGACGTGAACAATTCAAGAACACTTTGTTGAGCTCGAAGGCAGGCAATAATTAACGACACGCAGTTTCGAGAAAATCATCAGGAAGTTGAAATCCACTCCTAGGTCACACGTTCGAGTGGCGTAAAATTATTCTTGTGCTCAGAGATCTGTAGTTATCCGGTAGCTCTCTCCCTAGCCGGGGAGTTTAAATGATAAAAATAAGTGCCTCAATTAGCATGACATAATAACGGTGTGGGAGGTTAATTCTACCGTTTTTCGTCACCGTACAAAAATTAGGTTGTGAAATCTCGACATAAATGTAAAAATCAAACAAATTAAATACATCAAAGTTTAGTTGATGTTTAGATAGTGAAGGTTTAGAAAAACAAAAACATTTTTGAGAAAACAAACATGAAATACTTTGACCATATTAATATCAATCAAAGTTATTTAAAGGTATCAATCGATAGTTTTTTTTTTATAAATATTCTACATTATGAGCATAACTCATATTCAATTAAAAACAACTACTAAGTTATATTAAATGCTTCATTTAAAAAAGACCGCACCAGATGTTGAACTCATTTAAAAAAAATATTATTATTTTTATCACTATAAACTTTGCGCCACTTTTCAACTTGTCACTTTAGAGAGCTTCAATAATCCTCGAATCCGCTTGTGAATTGCCTGCTATCAGCCTGTTGATCGTATCACTGTACACTGCTTCTAACTATGATTCACAATAAGATTTGAAAAACAGTATCCGAGAAACGAAACTCAAAATGCTTCAATGAATCAAAACACGATTACTAACCCTTGGAAAGATTATCAGAATATGCCTTGCCGGCTTCTTAGTAGTACGACGAGTGACGAAGAAACAACGAACACCTAGCTTTTATACTCGGAACATGTTCCTCAGAGTCTCTACGGGCAATCCTTAGAAGGACCGAAGCGGGCCCCTAAGATTGGTGCTCTAGTGCCATCTCGGTTTTCCACACGCGGCCAATACGAACACAACCACGCGTCCCCATCGCCAGGCTTCTTCGCTCAGCGACGAATATTATCGTAAGCGTCCCCGAGAGGGCCGCAGCTTTGCCAGGAACGGTTACGAGACTGAGACGGCAATTGTGACCAAGTCGCGCAAGCAGAACGGTACTTACCGTTGCCACGAAGGTCTCCTTTACCGCATGTTAACCGCGTGTGTCCAACTGAAACTTCCATCTCCCTTCCTCTTCCCATTTCCCTGATCTACATTATGAGATAATATTGCTCCCAACATAAATGTGGATTGTATTTCTTATTATCACCGTCATCGTTCTCTTTCCACTTACACACTTGCAAAAAAAAATCATACAGGGCCCGAACGCGGGAAAATTCGGGCGATCACACATTCTAATGCTAATTAGCTCACTTCGTCCCATCATTCTGATATAGAATCCATTCATTTCGGCAGAACGGGATGGGGCCAATAACAGCATCACTCGAACGTTGCATCCCGCTTTGGCGCTAAAAACAATTTAGACGCTGCATCTGTACCTACTGTATACACAGCATTTTTTTGGCTCCTCTACGGAATATCATCTCCCCGCACCCCTTCCTTTCCAACCGCCAGCGACATGGCGTGGTGTGGAACAGCATCAAGTAGCAGCTTACTGCCTGCCAAAAATAAAGATATCCATTTCATCGCTCATTCCTTGTACATTCGAACTATGTGACATCGATTACCCGGCCTTTCCCCGGCCTAGCTCAGTCGCATGCCATTCTCGTATGGACAGATGGTGACATTTTTCTTCGATACGGCTTATTTTGGTGCGATGAACTTCGATCGAAGCATTTCTATTTTTTGTTCATTTTGAAAATTCATGTTGATTATTCAACCATTGGTGGGATGTGTATTTAGACACAGGATGACATCTTGGTTTTAGAACTTTTTATCATTGATAGGAAAATGTTTTTCCTGTATCTATAAAATGCATTTGGGTTATTGAGAAATGATTCCTGACGACCAAGAACACGCGGTTCTTTTTTAAAATAGTGAAAAAACCCTCTGCCTTTAGTTTTTAAAACGGACACCAAAAATTGTATGCATTTTTATTTTATTTTACAATGTATTCATATATCGGTGTATGAATTGATTCTACAAATAAATAATAAATTGCTTAAATTAATGAAACTCAAATGCATAGCTTTAAAATAAAATTCATTCATGTTTGTTTTCTCGGGTAAACAAACAAGTTTTATTTGTTTTTTTTTTTTCATTCCGTTCTATGTTCAATGCATATAGGGTAGGTTGTTCCAGTAATAGTGGTGTACCTATAGTTGCGGTATGGAGGTTGAGTCGGAATAGTGAGGAGGATCCCGATAGTATTATTTTTCATCGGTAGCTCTTCTAAATTAAATCATATTTGCATATTTCAAACTTAAAATATGTCCAAAAGTGACGGAAAATAATTAATTTTCCTTAAGATTTTCACTCCTTTGTACCTATAGTTGCGGTAGTGTTCCAATAATAGTGGAACCCATAAGAAACCAACGCATTCCACTATTATAGGAACCAAAGTTAGCAATTACCACAACTACTGGAGCAGTGTTCCTATTAATGGAGGACGATCTTTCTAAAATTTTATGCAATTTTAATGTATTATTTTTCTATCAAAATAGAGGTTGAAAGCTATAGATTGACGTTTAACAATTGTGTGTACATCGTATATCTATTTTTTAATTGATAAATTGGCTTAGTACCTCCACTACTGGCTCACCCACTCAAGTGAAAGCTTTTAGGGATATAACTAATAGGATGGGTCATCATGATCATTTTTTCAGAACAATGTTTTTTTGGTTCCATTTGGGGTCCCAAACAACTGTGAAAAATTTGGGGACAATAGGTTGTAACCCGGCTTTCCGCATTGCGTTTGAAATTTGTATGGAAATTAGTATTGGAAAACCTACTTTTTTGTATCTTTATTGCTAGGGACCACAATTTTGCACAAACCACGCATCTAAATACGTTAATGTTTAGCCCAACTTTGCTCAAAATGTATTGTGCTAGAATGCCCCTCAAAAAAGTTACAGCTGTTCAAAGATCAATGTTTCGAATTAAATGCTAAAAATCCCTTTTTCTGCCAACACTGCCGGTGTACGAATGAAAGTCAGACTCCAAACTTAAATAATTTCGAAGTTAATTATTTTATCGTTTTGGTATGGTCAGATGAAATATTCAAAAACAATAAATCTATCTCATATGCGTAGTCGGAAGGGGGTGGGGGGTCACTCATATCAATAGAAGTAAAGTTTCAAACTGAAATAACTTCAGAGTTAGTAATAAGATATTGATTTGGTATGTTCGGATGAATTATTGAAAAACCATTTTTCAATCTCATAGGCGTATTAAGAGATGGGGGGGCTAACTTTACCCCTGCCCCTCACTCATATAAATGAAAGTAAAGCTTCAAACTGCAATAACTTGGGTGTTTCTGATCTTGTCAAGTTTATATGTTCAGATGTATTAAAAAACATGTGCTCCATTTAATAGGCGTAGTTATATATGGGGGGGGGGGGCTTACTGCATGCTTTCCGGCCCTCACTTATATCAATGAAAGTAAAGATAAAGACTAAAATAACTTCGGAGTTTCCCATCTCTCGAGTTATTCGGATGGGTTGCGTAATCTCATAAGAGCAGTTGTAAAACGAGTACTACCATTCTCTTCCCTACTCTTTTGGTGCAATATACAATCCCAGATATATTCACACAAATTTCATTGGATTGTAATGATAATATTTCATTTTAATATATTCTACGATTTCTCAGGGTACTCTTTTCGATGCTGTTGAACTAGGTCTCTAGTGGATTTCTTGATAAGTCAGAAATTAGCCTCACCCCTCATTGAGCCATATCGTTGACAACCATCAATGAAGCAACTCGTTGTATCGCATTGAAATAATCTGTATCATTACTCCACTCGTTTGCCGGTTTTTGCATGAAACCGGTTAAAATTTCGAAAAGGAATCTCCAAATGAAACCAACAAAGGGTTGTTCTCGATTAGTGAGGTAAAGTTTGCGTTTTTTCAGATAACGATGACCCACTCTAATAACTATATCCTTTACACTTTTCAGACCAATTTTTTGGAACCAACTGTGGAAAGTTCTATGTTCGCTGCGTTATCTTCTTTTCTTCCTTTATGTAACTTCGGTCTCTGTTCTAGTGCCAATCACCGACGGACATCGATTAGCATCCATTGACGGCAATCGAATGTGCGGGAAGACAGCTTCCACACCTGCGTAGGATATCGCACCCATTCAACACAAATGGGCCGGGACCAACGGCTTTACTGACCAGAGATTTTTATACCTCAGACAAAACCCCTCGACCTTGGCTGGGATTGAACTCAGACCCAGTGGGGTGAGAAAGCAGTCAAGCTTACCACTACACCACCGGCACCGGCGTTGGCTAAGTTAGAACGAAATTTGTTCTACGTGTTGCAAATGTCTATTTTTGATTTAAATTTTATGAAAACTGCTATTGCATAGCGTAAAATTACACGATTAGGAAGTATTAAAATAATTCAGATTTACAAGTTACTTTTCTAGAACACAAAATAACACAGAAAAATTTGCAAAATCGTCTAAAACCTTTGTTCTACGATTTTTTTTTAAATTGGTGTGTGACATCTTTTAGAAGCTCTAAAATTTATTTATCTAAATTTATCCACGTGTTCTAGCTATATTGATATGAGCCAGATTTATCACCCACGGTTCCTACACGCCGTTATTGCCAGATCACCTGAAATTAAACAGAGCATCAACATGCCACACATTCTCAATGTGTAAAAACTGGTATGTATGTATGTGTGTAAAGGATACCACTCATTGTTGCAGAGCACAGCCATTAGACAGTGGGCTGTCCACCTCGTATGAGTTGATCAAGTACGATACCAGGTTGTATTCAATTTACCATTGTACGAAGGGCCAAAAACGGAGGGCAGACCCGTAAGCAAAGACGGGAGTAAGAATAATCTCCTTCCAATGATAAAAATACACAGATACAGATGCAAGGGAATATCCCAATGAGTGAGAAGAAGAGCTCACCTTTAATTCTCGAATTGTTAACAACAGGGAGTTGGAAATTCCACGCCATCCATCCAAATGGTCCCATCCCTACCCAATGAATTTATACGTTTATATGAACATATGTAGAATATAAGAAAATATGATATGATATTTTGCTCAGTAAGCAAAAACGTTCCCTCTAGGGTAATCAAGCATCTTAAAACCACAACATTCCACGACAAAATATGATTAAGTTTTCGCTTGGTATGCAATGAACAACAGAGATACGCGACAATTCATATAGTTTCTGCGGTTTATGGGTAATTTTAAATACACGAATGGTACTTAAATATACGATGACGACAACAGCGAATTTAGAACTTACCATTTGTCTAGGATATAACGGCGGTACTACCAACTAAGAAACATTTAAACTTACCGTTTTGAGCGTGTTATGTATGCTTGCAATTTTATCAGTCACTTTTGATCTAACTGCAATCACTCTCTCATACTCTAAATGCGCCACGACCAAATTAGCAAAACGATACCTTATACGCTTTCTGACCAAAGCGCAGGGCTCAATGTTTAAAAAATGGTGATCTCAAACTTTATAATAGGCAATACAAGCACCGGCCGCCTCCGACTGCAGGTCAATAATGGGTTGGAATGTGTTGACGTGATACTCGCTTAGTTGGAAGCCAAGACATCCTCTGAACTTCCACGAGAAATCACTGGGATGATGGATGTAAAGGTTGGATTTGTAGCAAGGCTCGTTTTGGCAAACGAGATTAAACCCATGATGCAAAAACGGTAGCTCTTAGACCACTGGATCCCTCATATCACATCATACCACTTGTTGCGCAAGCAACCAGACAA